CTGGCCCGGGCACGAACCTATTCACGTTGTGTCGACATGTCGCTCACAACATCGCGACCAGCTCTCACACACGAGACATGGAAATGTGGATGCGATGTGCCTGCCTTCCCGTGATGCATACTACGAGGGAGGGAGCAGGAGGATGGGGCCCAGAGCTTTCGACCATTATCAGCCCTTCCACGGAACTGTTCCGCGCCACCTCGGGTTCTGGTTCGCAGCGGCATTCTGACGGGCAGCATGGCAGAGAGTCGTCCTCTTCGCAGCGGCAGCTCCTGCTCTTCGCAGCGGTGGAGTATCGTGTGAAGGACATGTCCAGCCCATTGCTGCGAGGATCACGTTCACAAGAGAGGCCCGGTTCTCTCGATTCACAACGATCCATCCGCTGGGCCTCTCCGCGGTAGCTGATGGATTCACGTGCAGCGACATTTGGTCGTGCATGGGGGGCTCTTGGTATCACGCTCCAGGAGCCTCCTCCTCGGCCAATAGAGGCAGTCCCAGATGGCACGCAGCAGAGGGAGACCTCCTTCCTGCCTGTCACGGGATCTTCCATCCGGGAAAGGGAGGGGGACAAGAAGGAGGAAAGGGGGAGAAGGGAGGGGAGGGAGGGAGGGGCGAGGGGAGGGAAAGGAGAAGAGGCCAGAAAGGATGGATGATCTCTAGACTCTCCGCCCCATGCGGCCCCCTATGCAAGCTAAAGAGACAAAAGGTATCCTCCGATCATGAGCTCCAGCGAATCCGTGCCCCCGCCACCATGCGGCCAACATGCTCACACGGCCGCGCTTCAGCTCTGCTCAGCGCCGCCTAGCGAAGTTCCCCGTGATACCATCGTCCGAGAACCCAGCAGGGCCCCAGAAGCCCGCTGGGTCTTGAGCCCCAGCCAGCGGCGACAGGTAGCCTGGCAGCTTGCCGGCGATGTCGGGCTCGACGTGACCCGTGGTCCCTAACATGCTCGCGCGGCCTTGCTCCAGCTCTGCGCGGCGCCTCCTGGCAACGCAGCCCGAACTTCTGCCTGCCAGCAAACCACCCTTGTCCCAGAAGCCCATGGGATCCTGATCGCCGAGGCCGCTCCGCGCGGCGCCAGCGCCGCCGGCTGGCACAAAGCCAGGCGGGGTGCCCAGCGGGGCCGCCGCACGGGCGGCGAGCCTGACCGCCCATGCGAGGGCGGCCACCGCAGGCCAGAGCCCCGCGGCGCCCGCCGCCGCGCAGGCGGCGCCAACGGCGCAGGGCTCCGGCGGCGCCCGCGGCACCCGCGGCACCCGCGGCGCCCGCGGCGCCCGCGGCGCCCGCGGCGCGGGCCGTGCTGGCAGCGCCCGCGGAGCCCGCGGCGCCAGCGGCGCCCGCGGCATCCGAGGCGCCCCAGGGGCCTCGCGAGCAGCGAACTCCGCTGCCGCCATCGTTCGAGCCGCCGCCGCAGGAGGAGGAGACCGCCGCGGTAGCGTGCCCAGCGAAGCGCCGCCACGCGTCGGCCAAGGAGGCTGCACCCGCGGGGCCGGCTGCTGCCAGGGGAAGCCCGCTCGACGACGAGGTGAGCGAGTTCCAGCACGTCGAGCGCGTGCTGACCGACCGCGACTGAGACGATCGCCTGGCTCACTTGGGTCAGAGGCTGCGGACTGGGCCTCCAGCGCCAGTCGGGCGGACCGTCGTGAAGAATGCAGCCACCCCAGGGGCTATGAAGGCCCACGCGAAGCGCGCCCAGGAGTACGCTGCTGCTGGGAGCGCTGCGCGGCCCGCCGCACCAGCAGGCTGCGCTCGGCCGGCCGAGGCCCTCGCTGGTGCCCCCGTTGGCGACGGAGGTGGCGGCGCCGAGGGGGCCGACGAGGAGGAGGAGACGCCCGCGCAGCCGCGACAGGTACCCATGGGGTCTGTGAAGCGAGACTTCTTCCAGAAGACTGCGAAGCAGCGCCCAGGCACGTTGCTCGAGGCAGGGCTCGGCTACCCCCGCGGCCAGTTCACTCAGTTCCTGGCCGACGTGCATCCGCCGACCCTCTCAGTCCCTGTGTCACGCAGTACCTGAACACTGTTCTTGGTGTCTCACCCTCCCCGAACACTGGAGGTCGACGAGGTGCACATCTTGCGGATTTTGGGCGAGGCCATGGACGGGCTCCTCCGCGGTCAGGTCGTCGAGGTCAGCGACCTGCTCATTCAGGAGTTCAAGGCCAACCCAAGGCGCTGGGCGACGGACAGAGGCGGAGCGCGCGCTGGCTCACGCTGACCCCGAGCGAGAGGATGCCGACGGGAGCCACGCAGGACGAGGAGGCAGCCGCCGAGCGCGTCGAGGCTCGGGAGACGAGGGTGGCCGAGCTGAAGGAACGCCTTGCCGAGCGTCGTGCGGGCTACGGATTCGGCTGGGAGCTTTCTCCAGGTGGGGGGAAGCGCAATGCCGCGGGCCGAACGAACGATGGCAAAAGGCAGAATGCCGCCCAACGTCTAAAAGCATATCTTCGTCAACATGAAGATGTTCGAGTGTTGGGGCATTATCCTCCCTCGCCAGAGAGAAAATCCTTGTATCCAACCACAAAGAGGAATCCTTGTGCATTCCGCCATTGGGGGGGAGCAGCTCCTACCGGCCATGCCTTCGCGGAGGGCGAGGGCTCCGATCCCCGCAGGGACGCCCCTGGGCAGGGTCGGCGGAGGCGTTCTCCGGATCCTGGCGGGCCGCGCCCAGGAGCGGCACGGCAGCAGGCAGGCGAAGCAGGCAGCTGGGCTGCTCCTCCTCCTCCTCCTCCTCCTCCTCCTCCTCCTCCTCCTCCTCCTCCTCCTCCTCCTCCTCCTCCTCCTCCTCCTCCTCCTCCTCCGCGCTCCTCCTCCTCCTCCTCGCTCCTCCTCCTCCTCCTCCTCCTCGCTCCTCCTCGCTCCTCCTCCTCCTCCTGTCACACGGAGCGGGGTGGCTCCTCGCAGCGGCGCAAGATGCCCGCTCGCGCGGCCGGCAAGGCGGCGGGGCGTCCAGTGCACTCATTTAGCCTTGCCCCTCTAGAGCCCCCACGATCGTCTTTTTGAACCGCTTTTGGAGCGCCCTTGGGGCGCTCCTGGGGCCATTTTGGGACCCTCTTGGGTTCCTCTCGGGGTTTTTGTTCGGCCTTCTTGGAGCCACCTGGAGGTCTCGGAAGGCCGTCGAAAGCGAAAAGGCGAGGAGCTACAAAACATGGATGTTCGAAAGGTTGCTGAAGGATTTGAGCCTCTTGGTGGCTTCCCTGAGAGGCTCCGAGGTCACTTGGATCCGTTTGGGGGCGGTCTTTGGGCCGCTTGGAGGCTATCGCTGGCCAGTGTGAATCATCCTGCGCCTTCGCGGAGGCCAGCTTAGAGCAATGGGGGCCATCTCGGAGCTTTCTGGGGCCCATAGCCTCCCAAAGCTGTCCCCGATAATCAAAATCCTTTTGGGGGAAAGCAATGCGTCTTGTTTGCAATGTTTTTGTCCTAACCATCCTGTGGTGTTAGGTCCTCGTTTTGAAGAGAGTCCCCGCGCCCTCCCTTCCTTCCATCCTCCCTTCCTCCCTCCTCCTCTCTGCCCCTGACCTGCGAATGAATGTCAAGGTCGGCAGTTCTCAGCTCACGGCGCATGCAGGACCTTAGGCTCTATGAAACATTGCCTCAGAAACGCTGCGCCCTCTTTTCCCCTCCATCCTTCCCCCCCCCCCGTTTCTGTCTCCGCGCCTCCCCCCTCTCTCTCCCCTCTCCCCCTCCCTCCCTTCCCTCCCCCATCCCTCCCCTCCCTCCCATCCCCTCCTCTCTCCCCTCCCTCTCCTCCCCTCTCCCTCCCCTCCTCGCTCCCCATCTCCCTCCCCTCCCCCTCCCCCATCCCTCCCTCCCCTGGCCCCCTGCCCTCCCCTCCTCCTCCCCCTGCCCCGAGCCCCGCATTCTCCCGCGCCCCGCCTCTCCCATCCGTAGACTCTCCCTCCTCGTCCGCTCGTTGCTCCCTCCTCCCCGCCCGCCCTTTGCTCTCTCCTCCTCCTCGCCCGCTCTTTGCTCCCTCCTCCCCTCCGTAGACCATCCCTCCTCGCCCGCTCCCTGCTCCCCCGTGGCAGGGGGGCAACGAGAAGCCGAGAGAGCAGAAGGCGAGGGGCCCTTCCTTCTGATCTCTCGCCCCGTCCTGCCCCAGAGGCCGCCGTGCACTCCAGGCCGTGACGCGGCTCGCACCGCCTGGGGCGCTGGCGGGAGCCGCTTGCCCACCGCAGGAGTAAACAGTCGGCGGCGAGCGAGGGGGGGAAGCGAGAAGGAGAAGGCCTTCTCGGAAGGCGGCGAGACTTCTCAGAAGCCCTCGCGCCTGCTGAGAAGGTTTCCATGTATTCAGGGGAAGGCTTCGAAAATGTTTCAGAAGGCCAGGTAACTTCCGAGCCTTCTGAGAAGGTCCGCCGTTCCTCACTTCTCCCCCAGGCTCGCCGCCGAAAAGAGGCATCCATCATCCCCTCTCGTCGTCTCTCATCCTTCCTGGCTGGTGTTCCGAGCCAGCCAGGTGGTCAACTTGGGCTTGCATGAAGGCTCTGGGAGCATCAAACGTACGGACGCCCAACGCGAGAACCGATGGTTGAAAAATAATCGCTTTCCATGGGCACAGTTTTTTGAAGCGACTGGCGTTGTGCTCAAGTGCTCCAGGCCCTCTCACGCGAGAGCCACAAGTCGAAAATCACCCGACCTCCAGCCCTGTACCCGTTGGGAGTCTGTCCTGCGAATCTGCTCGGCGGGAGAGCCACATGTTCAAAGCCACCTGGTCTGAATCCATGCATGATCACGTGTCGGAGCAATTCAGAGCGAATGTTCGCGCCTACGGATTGATTTCGCAGAGCCAGGTCAGAGCATTGCCAAGCTTCGCGATCGAGGATCACCATCGAATATGTGAAGTTGCCCATGGTACAACTGTTCATCATGAGCGTCACGCCTCAGAGGTTCCCGCTCCATGCTACTCGAGCATATCCTCCTCCTCATCTCGACCCGCACGCTGGTTTTCTGGTTGCTGGCCCTGGAGAGGGGCCACAGGCGAGGAGCCGAGCTCGCGCTCTTCTTGGCTCAAGCTCGAGATGCGCACCCCCGCTATTGGCCCTAGCTTGGAACCCCTCCGCGGACCTCTGAGGACCGACATCCCCTTGCCAGGAGGAGGAGGAGGAGGAGGAGGAGGAGGAGACTGCACACGGCTTGGTGTATGGCCACAAGGTTGTAGTTGTTGCACCGATCCAGGGACACACATGCAGCTTGCAGAAGCATTGGTTTGGTGCCTGAACCCCTGGCGTACATCAGTGCCCAGAACCAGGATCGAAGAGGATTGGGATAGGAAGCCTCTCTGTACCTGTTTCGGCTCGGATGGATGAGAAGCGCAGCGCTGAGAACCTTGATTCCTTCGCTGTCTCCACCAGACTCCAGATCCTGCTTCCGGTAACAAACATCTAAAACGTTCTACTAGTTTATCTGACTCGAACATCTGATCATCTTGCTTCTGAGGATGGTGAGATCAGCCTTCCTGTTGACCCACGCAGGCCGCAGTATGTTCGGCAGAAACGCCCTCTTTACTTTCGCGGTCCTACATACATTGGTGCTCTCTACGACTGCTCTTGCGCCACAGATCAGTAACAACCAAGGCGACAACGCAGCCACTGCTCCACCTGCCTCCGACCAGCACGGCAAGGACCCAGCCGCTGGAATACATGTCATCAGCCTCGAGCGGGACGCGACGCCCTTGCGTGTCAAAGGTTCCGTTGTAGCTTTTCGGATCGCGTACACGGGGATCATCCGCGTCGGCTCTCCAGCCCAGGACTGGGCCCGGGAGTCCGTGAGCCGAAGTAGTGGCGGATTTCATCCAAGACTTCAGAAGGAACCAGAAGCCTTTGCTACTGGTCCCTTTGAGTTCCTGGTAGTAGTCGGGTGCGTGACTCCTTGCTCAGATGCCCTGTTCCACGAAACGGTGATTTTAAGCGGTTTTAGGCTGGGGGCTTTCAGTTTCCACTGGGCTCGACAATGACTTGATATGGTCGCAAGCACACAACTTGCGGCTCACGTGAGGTCAGTATTGGCCAGTGGACCAAGACATCCCCCGACCGCGCCCACCAGAGCGCACTCGCTAATCATCACAGGGCCCTTGAGCAGAGCAACGGATTCCTGAGCCAATCAGGAGTTCAAGGTGATTTTCGATTCCGGATCGGGCCAAGTTGTGCTGCCTTCCAACAGGTGCGAGGGCCCCATTTGCCGCAGGCTCCGGCGCTACACGATGAGCTCCTCCACTGGGGCATTCCACGTGGAGCTCTCTGGGCAGCCCACGCCAGAGGACGGCCGACCGGACAACGTAGAAATATCTTTCGGCGTCGGCCACGTCAAAGGCGAGCTCGTCCGTGACAAGTTCTGCTTGGGCGAGGCCGTCCAAGGAGGCGTCTACCCTGAGCTCCAGAGCCCCGACACCTGTGTCCGTGTCAATGGTGTGATGGCGACCACGTTGTCCCAGGCGCCATTCGGCTTGTTCAATTTCGATGGCATCGTAGGCTTGGGCTTGCCAGAGCTGTCGCTTAGCGAGGACTGCAGCTTCTTCGGATCGCTCTTCAAGAGCGGGGTCCTGAGAGCGCGGCAGTTCGGCGTGTACTTGGCAGAGGGTGGCGAAGGCAGCGAGATAGCCTTCGGCGGTCCCAACCCGGAGAAGCTTGCCTCACCCGTGATGTGGACTTCCGTCGTCATGCCTGGCCACGGACATTGGCAGGTGGAGATCGTGGCCTTCCACGTCGGCGATTACACCCTCGATGTCTGCAGGAGCGGGGGCTGCCGGGGCGTCCTCGACACGGGCACCTCGCACATCGCGATCCCTTCGCCGCACGAGGTCTAAATACCAAGACATCGTATGAGCATAAACATGCGGAGGTCGGCGCGGATGTCTTGGGTCGGCGCTGGAGCCCCGCCCGCCAGAGCCTCCAGCGCCGCCCCTGACGCGCTCCACACGATGGGGGAATGGGGCCCAGCGCCAACCCAAGAAGTCTGCGCCAACACCTACGAGTTGATGCTCGATGCCTGTTCCTCTGTTAGGCTGTGCCCGAGGGGCTCCTGGGCCTCATTCGCTTGTCAAAGGCCAGGTGGTGCGCGGGCCCGCGCCGGCTGGGGTTGCGCGGGGCTCCCTGGTGTTGTTTCCGTCCAGTGGGGTTGCTTGGGGTTCCATGGCCTGTTTCCTCACAGTCGCATTCCTTGGGTTCCTTGGTATTGGTCCCGTGGTTTCTCGGTCTTGGTTCTTTGCTGCCTTCCTCGGGCTTATTGGTCTTGGTTCTTTGGTTCCTTGGTCGTGGTGCCTTGGTTTCTCGATCTGGGTTCCTTGATTCCTTGGTCTTGGCTCTTTGATTATATGGTCTTGGTTCCTTCGTTATTTGATTCCTTGGTTTGGGCTCCTTGGTTATTTGATTATTTGGCTTGCGCCGCACCGCCGACCCCTTGGGGGAGAGTAGCTGTTGCGGCTTCTGGGTGCTGCGTGACTTATGTTTGTATGTATATCGAAGACGCCTACGGCGAATCACCGCCGCCCCCTGCCTTTTTGGAAGCGTCTGCGTGGCCGAAAGTTGGATTTAAGCTTGGCCAAGCTATCGGACCACGCGTTCCCCGAGCGGGTTTCGAAAGCTTTCGGGGAACACGGAGTCGGGCGAGCTATCGGACCAGGTGGCTTCCGAGCTTTCGGGTCTCCTGGAGGACGTCTTGGAGGGGTCTTGGGCCGTCTTGGAGGCCTCTGGCGGGCCTTTTAGGCAGTCTAATCTAAGGCCATCTGGGGCCGTCTTGGGTGCATCTTGGGGCCATCTTCGCCGTCTTGGAGGCCGTCTTGGAAGCATCTTGGAGGCCATCTTGGCCATCGTGGATGCCATCTTGGGCGTCTTGGGGGCTTCTTGGGCCGTCTTCTTGTTGGGGCCGTCTTGGGGGCCTATTGGGTTGTCATGGGGCCATCTTGGAGGCCTCTGGGGCGCTCTTGGGGCGATGTTGGGGGTCTCTTGGGCCGTCTTGGGCCGTCGGAGAGCTGAAAAGAAGAAAATGCAAAAATCCTTCAAGCACCGAAGGACAATCAATGATTTGGGCCTATTCGGGCCTCCTGGTGGAGCTCTTGGAGGCCTCTTGGGGCCCTCTTGGGCAGTCTTAGGCCATCTTGGAGCCATCTTGGGCCGTCTTGGAGGCTTCTTGGACGAACTTGAAGGCATCTTGGACTCTCTTGGGCCGTCTTGGTGACATATTGGACCATCTTGGGCGGATTTGGAGGCCTTAGAGGCCATCTACACCGTCTTGGAGAATTGTTTGGGGACATTGAGGTCGTTTCCGGGCCTTTCGGGTGGCCGGCGGGACGGAACACCAAAACCGCGGAAAAACAAAAATCTTGCAAGCAAACATAAAGAAAATTAAAGATTTTGGCTCCCTCGGGCCTTCCTGGAGCACCTCTTGGACTCCTCTGGGGCAACCTTGGAACCTCTCGGGCCCATCTTGGCCGTCTTAGCGGCCATCTTGGCCGTTTTGAAGCTCATCTTGACCGTGTTGGAAGCATCTTGGAGGCCGTCTTGGAGACAGTCTTGGCGCCCTCTTGGGGCCGTCTTGGGGACCTCTTGGGCCGTCATAGGGCCATCTTGGAGGCCTCTTGGGCGCTCTGGGGGCGATCTTTCGGGCTCCTTGAGCCGTCGTGAGCCGTCGGAAGATTCGAAAAGAACAAAGCCAAAATTCCTCAAAACCCTTAGGAAAACATTGATTTTGACCTCTTCGGGCTCTCGTGGAGGACCTCTTGGCGGCCTCTTGGGGCGTCTTGGAGGCCTCTTGGAGGCCTCTGGGGCCGTCTTGGACCGTCTGAAAGGTTTCTTGTGCGAACTTGGAGGCATCTTGGACTCTCCTGGGCCGTCTGGGAGGCCATGTTGGACCATCTTGGGCGAACCTGGAGGCCATATTGGAAGCCATCTGGGAGCCATCTGGAGCGGGAAAAACTTTTGGAACCACTTGTTACGCATCCCCGGCAGGACGGGCCGAAACCCCAGGAGGAGCTCTTCTTGGAAAAGAACCAAAACCAAAAGCGAAAGGGTCTAGCGCGCTGGGCACCCCTGTGATGAATCAACAGGGGGCGGCGGATCGAAGACGCCTACGGCGAATCACCGCCGCCCCCCGCCTTCTGGAATCGCCCATGTGGCCGAGCGTTGTGGCAAAAGCTCTGCCAAGGTATCGGGCCATGTGTTCCCCCAACCGTTGTGGAAACCCTTCGGGGAACACTCGGGGGAGGATGGCGGGGAAGATCAAGAGGAGGAGGCGGAGGAGGAGGAGGAGGAGAAGGAGGAGGGGGCATCTTGGGAGCCTCTGGGGACACTCTTGGGGTCTCCTGGGAGCTTCCTGGGAGCCTCTTGGACCTTTGGGGGCTTCTCGGGGGCCTCTTTGGCCGTCTTGGTGGGCTCCTGGCCCGTCTGACGCCGTCGGAAGCCGTCTTGGGGGCCTCTCTGGGCCGTCTTGTGGCCCTCTTGGGGTGCTCCAGGGCAGTGTTGGAGACCATCTTGGGCATCTTGGAGGCCTCTTGGAGCCGTCTTGGGGGCCTCTTGGGCCATTCTGGGGCCATCTTGGAGACCTCTTGGGCGATCTTTTGGGGCTCTTGGGCCGTCTCGGGCCGTCGGAAGGCCAAACAGAAAGCAAATGCCACAATCCTTCAAAAACTGTTGGAAAATCAATGATTTGGGCCTTTGCAGGCCTTCCTGGAGGCCCTCTTGGAGGCCTCTTGGGCCGCCTTGGGCCATCTAGGGCCATCTTCGGCCGTCTTGGTGGGCTCATGGCCCGTCTGACGCCGTCGGAAGCCGTTTGGGGGGCCTCTTTGGGCCGACATGGGGCCCTCTTGGAATGTTGCAGGGCCGTCTTGGAGGCCATCTTGTGCGTAGAGACCTCCTGGGCCGTCTTGGGGGCCTCGTGGGGCCGTCTTGGGGGCCTCTTGGGCGATCTTCGGGCGATCTTTGAGGGCTCTTGGGCCGTCTCGGGCCGTCTAAATGCCGAAAAGAAGCAAATGTCAAAATCCTTCAAAAACCTTCGGGAAATCAATGATATTGGCCTCTTCTGGCCGTCCTGGAGGCCCTCTCTGGGCCGTCTTGGGCCAGCTTGGAGCCAACTTCGGTCATCTTGGTGGGCTCCTGGCCCGTCTGACGCCGTGGGAAGCCGTCTTGGGGGCCTCTCTGAGCCGACTTGGGGCCCTCTTGGGGTGTTCCAGGGCCGTCTCAGATGCCATCTTGGGCGTCTTGGAGGCCTCCTGGGTCGACTTTGTGCGCTCTTGGGGGCCTCTTGGGCAGTTATGAGGCCATCTTGGAAGCCTCTTGGGCGCTCTGGGGGCGATCTTGGCGGCCTCTTGGGCCGTCGTGGGTCGTCGGAAGGCCAACAAGGGGCAAATACGAGAAACCTCCTAAGGAAAATCAATGATTTTAGCCTATTCGGGCCCTCCTGCAGGACCTCTTGGAGGCCTCTCGGGCCGTCTTGGAGGCCTCTTGGGCACCTCTTGGGCCGTCTTGGGCCGTCTTGGAGGTTTCTTAAGCGGACTTGGAGGCATCTTGGACTCTCTTGGGCCGTCTTGGAGGCCATCTTGGCCGAACTTGGAGGCCATCTTGGTCATCTTGGAAGCCATCTGGGAGCCATCTGGAGCAGGAAAACCGTTTGGAACCCGCCTTTCGGGGACATTCCCGGACCCCGGCGGGCTGGGCCGGAGCCCCAGGGAGAGTTCCTTCGGAAAAGAACCAAAACCAAAAGCGAAAGGATTTAGCACGCCGGGCACCCTTGTGATGAATCAACAGGGGGCGGCGGATCGAAGACGCCTACGGCGAATCACCGCCGCCCCCTGCCTTTTTGGAAGCGTCTGCGTGGCCGGTTGAGTCAGAGCTTGGCCAAGCTATCGGGCCACGCGTTTCCCGACTGGGTTTCGAAAGCTTTCGGGGAACACGGGGTCGGGCGAGCTATCGGACCAAGTGGTTTCCCAGCTTTGGGCTTTCCTGGAGGACATATTGGAGAGCTCTTGGGCCGTCTTGGAGGCCTCTTGGGGGCCTATAGGGCCGTCTTAGGCCATCTTGAGGCCATCTTGGGACGTCTTGGGTGCATTTTCGGGCCGTCTTAGCCGTCTTGACGGACATCTTGGGCGTCTTGGAGGCATCTTGGAGGCCATCTTGGCCGTCTTGGAGGCTATCTTGGGCGTCTTGGGGGCCTCTTGGGCCGTCTTGGGGCCTTCTTGGGGCCGTCTTGGGGGCCTCTTGGGCTGTCATGGGGCCATCTTGGAGGCCTCTTGGGCGCTCTTGGGTCGATGTTGGGGGCCGCTTGGGCCGTCTTGGGCCGTCGGAGAGCTGAAAAGGAGCAAAAGCCAAAATCCTTCAAAAACTTTTTAGGAAAATCATTGATTTTAGCCTTGTCGAGCCTTCCTGGAGGACGTCTTGGAGGGCTCTTTGGCCGTCTTGGAGGCCTCTTGCGGGCCTTTTGGGCAGCCTTAGGCCATCTTGAGGCCGTCTTGGGTGCATCTTGGGGCCATCTTGGCCGTCTTGGAGGCCATCTTGGCCGTCTTTGGAGGCATCTTGGAGGTCATCTTGGCAGTCTTGGAGGCCATCTGGGGCTTCTTAGGGGCCTCTTGGGTGGTCTTGGGGCCGTCTTGGGAGCCTCTTGGGCCGTCCTGGGGCCGTCTTGGAGGCTTCTTGGGCACTCCTGGGACGATCTTGATGACCTCTTGGGCAGTCTTGGGCCGTCGGAAGGCCGAAAAGGAGCAGAAGCCAAGATCCTTCAAAAACCTTTGGAAAATCAATGATTTTGACCTCTTCGTGCCGTCCTTGAGGACCCTGGAGGACCTCTTCGAGGCCTCGTGGGCCGTCTTGGAGGCCTCTTGGAGGCCTCTTGGAGGCCTCTGGGGCCGTCTTGGGCCGTCGTAGGTGTTTCTTGTGTGATCTTGGAGGCATCCTGGACTCTCTTGGGCTGTCTTCGAGGCCATCTTGGACCATCTTGGGCGAACTTGGAGGCCATCTTGGCCATCTTGGAGGCCATCGTGGAGCCGTCGGGAGCCGAAAAACCCTTTGCAACCACCTGTTGTGCATCTGTGCGCGCCCTTCCGGGTGGCCGGCGGGATGCGCCGAAGCCCCAGGGGGAGTTCTTTTAGAAAAGAACCAAAACCAAAAGCGAAAGGGTTCAGCACGCCGGGCACCTTTATGATGAATAACAGGGGGCGGCGGATCGAAGACGCCTACGGCGAATCACCGCCGCCCCCTGCCCCTTTGGAAGCGCCTCTGTGGCCGACAGCTGGGCCAGAGCTTGGCCAAGCTATCGGGCCAGTTGTTCCCCGAGTCGGTTTGGAAAGACTTCGGGGAACGCATGGGGCAGCAAGAAGAGGAGGAGAGGGAGGATGAGGAAAAAAGAGGAGGAGGAGGCCTCTTGGGCGCCTCTTGGGGCACTCTTGGGGCCTTGTTGATTCAGTGCTTCTTGCCTCACTCCGCTGCCGTTTGGGCACTAGCTAGCTTGGAGACTCGCGGTGGGCCACCCGCGAGAGGAGAACAAGCTAGCCCTCACTCTTTCCCCAGAGGGTCCGGAGGACCCCTCACCACCGCTCGGGCTTTGACACTAGCTTGAGCCAACGGCCCTGAGTACAGCCATGGCGGACGGAGGCAGCAGCGGAGGGAGCAGCATTCGTGACAGACGATTCTCCGGAGAAGGAGCAGCTGCAGTCCAGGACTACAAGGCTTGGAAGAAATGGGCACGAGCAAGATTGCTGGTGGAGAAGGGGCGCGGAGGCAAGTCGCAGACCTTCGGCCCCATGTTGTACACCCTCCTGGAGGGAACGGCCGTGGACACTCTGGAACATGTGGAGCTGGACGAGTTGGCGGTCGACGGCGGCGAGGAGAAGCTGTTCGCCGTCCTAGACGCACGGTACCCAGAGCGAGAGGCGGCCGACCGAGCAGGAGACGCGCTGGAGTCCGTGTTCGGTCTGAAGATCGAGAAGGCGGAGCTCACCAGCGCGTACGTGGGCAGGGCCCAGACGATACTCATGAGGGCCAAGAAGGAGGGCGTGGAGATCCCTGACGTCGCTCAGGGGTTTCTCCTTCTTCGGGGCGCCCGCCTCGGAGGCGATCGGCGCGCCGTCGTCCTCGCGGCCAGCGAGAGGCAGTGGACGTTCGAGAAGCTGGCCCTGGCGCTGAAGACGGTCTACCCGAAGGTGCTGCCCGAGCACGGCGTGCACCTGGTGGAGGACGACTACGTGTGGGAGGCGGCGGGCGAGGAGCATCATCCCGCGGCCAGCTCCCAGGAGGAGGTAGATGCGTTCCTGGCGGAGGTCGAGCAAGATCGTGAGGAACCCATGGAGGAAGATGAGGCCATCCAGGTGCTGGCGACGTGGAAGGAGACCCGAGTGGCGGTCGCATAGGAGCGGAAGAAACGCGGCCTGCCACCTCCGCAGGCGCCGGATCTGAAGAAGTTTTCCGCTCGAGTTCGCTGCTGGGCATGCAAGCAGGTGGGTCACTTCAGCAAGGAGTGCCCGAAACGAGCTGGCAAGGGTGGCGGCAAGGGTCGCTTTGGCCAGAAGTTCGGGGCTGGCTTCGTCGAGAGTTTCTTCGCTGAAGAAAAAGAGGCCGACCCCTGGAATGAGATTGAGGAGATCCTGGCGACGTGGGACGACAGGGGCCTCAGAGAGCAGCTGACCGAGGACCACTTCACGCGTCTGCGCAAGGAGGTAGACGAGATCGCCGACCACGACGACGAGAACGCCGACGACGACGACGAGGCGGAGACGTTCATGGTGCACTCGCCGGGTGCTGGGGTGATCGACCCAGCTTGTGCGAGGGCCCTGATCGGCTTGGACACGCTGAGGGAGCTGATCAAGACGTCCGGGAACGACATCGAGATCGACGAGGACCACAAAGTGGTCACGTTCAAGGGGTTCAGCGGCGATGAGCAGCACTCCATCGGCATCTGCAAGATCCCGTGGAGGCTCGGCGACCACATCGAGATGGTCGACGTGCACGCGGTCCCGGGCAAGGCGAGCCTCCTTTTGAGTAAGCCCCTCCTGAAGAAGCTGGGCTGCACGCTGGATATGGAGAAGGACGAGCTGGCGTTCTCGAAGCTGGGCGTCCGCGTGCTGCTCCAGACGACCCGCGGCGGCCACTACGAGATGCTGCTCGACGGTTCGTCCGCGGTCCCCATCGTGAACCAGGATTTTCAGTAGGGCCAGGCCGTAGCCCTGAGGCCATAGATGAGATGTGCGTAGTGAACCAAGCAAGTTCGCGGAGACCCGTCATCATGGAGGCGTTCTCTCCCCCGAGGCTGACCAAGTGGGCCGAGGAGTTTGGGTTTGAGGATGGCGGAGCGTGCGATTTGCAGACAGGTTGGGATGCTCGCCAGCGCGAGGACGTCTCCCGGCCCTTCTGCGACCTGGAGACCGAGGATCCGCCCCTCGTTTCGCGCAGCCCCCCCTGTGGCAAGCTGTCGCCGCTGCAGGCTCTCACGCCCGAGGACAAACGCAAGGACCTCGAGAAGTTTGAGCAAGAGGTTCAGGAGGCTGTCTCTTTTATTGTCTTGTGCCTGGTGATTGCGGAGTGGCAGATGATGCGCGGGAAGCATTTCATACTCGAGCAATCCCGAGGGAGTTCGGCATGGGGCTTGAAGGAGATGACTCATTTCCTAACGGAGTTGCCCCCCTTCATCGCGGAGGCAGCGGCGCGCAGGTTTGGCAAGTTGGGCCGGGCGTCAGGGGTGCCCCTCGCCAAGGTCTGGCGCTTCGCCTCGGACCTTCCGGAGGTGGCCGAGGAGGTGGACCGCCAGTGCCGGGGCGGCCACGAGCACCAGGACGCGATGGAGAGCGCCGGCGGCACGAAGCGTTCGGTCCGGCCCCAGATCTACCCGGACAGGCTGGCGAAGGCGTTGGTGCGAGGCGCCTACCGTGCCAGAATGGAGACCCAGAGCCACACCCGCCAGACGGCCGTCCACGAGGCGGAGGCCACGGGGGTCGGTGACCAGGAGGATGACGAGGAGGCGGATATAGAGGGTAAGGGGCGCCTCACCCGGGACGACCTGTACCATGGCCGGCCGCAGACCATCGAGGCAGGCTTGCGCCGTCTACATGTCAATCTCGGCCACGCCCCGGCGCCTACCACGATGAGACATCTACGCCATGCGAATGCGACCGAGGCTGCCCTGAAGATGGCCGCGGAGTTCCGCTGCCCGGAGTGCGACGTCAAGGCTGACCCGAAGTCGGTTCGCCCAGCTGCACCGGACATTGCGCAGCCCCCTTTGAGGTCCATCGGCATGGACGTGAAGGAGCTCCCGGGCTGGATGCCCAATCAGATCGTCAAGGCACTCAACATCGTTTGCGATACATCGTCGCTGCAGTCCATGACTCCGTTCATGAGGGCGATGACGAGGCGGCGGCTGACCTACTGCGCCTGTGCCGAGACAACTGGACTCGGCCCTACCTGCGCCCGAAGTGGATCCGCCTTGACCCAGCGAAGCCCCACGTGTCCAAGGTCTTCACTAGCGCGATGGAGCGGGACGGGACTACGACCCTGGACACGGCGGGCAGCGCCAAGGAGCAGAAAGGGAAGGTGGAGCGGCATGGGCAGTGGTTCGCCCAGATGCTGCGCGCCGTGATCGCCGAGGTCCAGCCTCAGGACCGCGGAGAGTGGCGCGAGTGCGTGGCGCAGGTGCAGGAGGCCAAGAACTCTCTCCGGAGCGTCGGCGGGGTCGGCCCGGCCCAGATCGTCTTCGGGCGGAACCCTCAGGTGCCCGAGGACTTGCTGGCGGACTCGCCGGACATCGCGGCGAACAGCGCGGCCTTGCGCGACCCGCCGGCGGCGTTTGCTGCTCGAGTCCGAGCGGCGGCCAGGCGACAGGTCCTGAGCTACAACGACAAGCAGGCGACCCGCCTGGCCCTGGACGCGCGGCCCCGCAAGCTCGTGAAGTACCAGTCTGGCGACATGGTGGCGGTCTGGCGCAATGCGAAGCAGGTGGCTGGGCGACGAGCCCACTATCGCTGGAGGCCTGGCGCGTGCATGGGCGCGGTCCGCGGCAACTACTGGATTGCCGTGCCGGGCAGTGTGCTGAAGGCCTCCGGCCAACTCGGAGGAGAGGGCAGCACGGCGCCTAGTGGAGTCGTCGCTACGGACTCACGCCGTCGACCTGGACGGCATGAAGGCGAAGTTCTAATCGGACATCACCGCTGACGCGCGGCCGCCGGAGGCCGCCGAGGAGGAGGAGTCCGCCCCAGAGACAGCAGGAGGCGACGCGCGGCCGGCACCACCTGAGGCCTTACCACCTGCCGAAGCCGAGCCGCCTGCTGCCGACTCTGCCGAGATCCCGGCCCCAGAGGATGAGCCGGGTGACTGGCCTAACGCGGAGACGGAGGGCAATCAAGGCAGTGCTGGATCCGCTGGAGCTCCCGGCGACTCTGAGCCGGCTGAGGTTCGCAAGCGGCTGCGGTGCCAGACGTCTGCGGAGGAGGCGAAGCGCCCGCGCGTCGAGAGCGAGGTGCCGATGCCCCCTGGGAGCGTGGACCTGGGCCCCCAGGCTGCGAGGGCGAGTACCGCCCTGAAGCGAAGCCTGTCAGCTCGCCGGCCTGGACGACCCAAGCAGCAGCGTGTGCAGTCAGTTCTGGCAGTTACGGCCTCGCCCGACAGCGACGACGATGACGAGATCCTGGCGGTGGACATAGAGGAGGTCCTGCTGGCCAGGGGCAGGCGAGAGCTTGACAGGCGAGAACCGCGCTGGTGCTCGAAGGACGGGCTGGCCAAGATCGCACGGGCTACGCCAAGGAGTACAGCAAGCTGATCGAGAAGACCCAGGCTTGGCGCCCCCTTCCGCTGGAGGAGTCGAGGAGAGCGCGGTCTACCCAGCCTGATCGCATCATGAAGCCCCGACCAGTCTTGACGGAGAAGGAGGACGAGGAGGGCAACGTGGTAGTTAAGTGTAGGATGACCGTCCAGGGGTTCATCCTTGAGTTGGTGATGGCGGGCCGCACTCAGGCCCCGACGCTGTCCTCAAACGGGAGGGCGTTCGTCCTCCAGACCATCGCCTCGGCCGAGTTTCCCCTGGCCATCGGGGACGTGGAGGGGGCCTTCCTCGAGACGGATGCGCCGCTGGCACCGGCAGAGCACGGCGCGATCTACGTTTCGCTACCGTCGGAGTTCCTGCCGGACGGGATGCACGGAGATCAGCTCTGCGAGGTCATCAACGGCTACGGCAGGAGCGACCAGCCTCAGCTGTGGTGGCTGACCTTCAGCAAGTTCCTGGTCGAGGAGCTGGGCTTCGTGAAGCATCCCATGGACCCGTGCGTGCTGCTGCTGTTCGAGGACGTCGGCGAGTCCGCGGAGTTTGACCTCGACGACTACCGCGTCATCGACGGCCAGGGAGCAGAGCCTCTTCGAGTGGCCCGGCCTGGCGACCTGTGCGGGGTCATCGGCCAGCACGTGGATGACGGCGCGTTCGGAGGTCGGGGATCTATGTGGGCCGAGGCTGCGTCGCAGCTGAGGCGCCGCTTTCCCTACCGCAAGTGGCACGAGGAGGAGGCCGAGTTCGTCGGGCCCCGGCTGCGGCAGCTTCCCGACTACACCGTCGTGCAGACGCAGCATCAGCACGCGTCTGAGGAGATGGAGCGGGCGTCGACCCGCCGACACGCAAGTGCTGACGCTCTGGCGGTCCCGTCAGAAATACAAAATTTCATCTCCCTCAACCAGCGGGGGAACTGGCTGGCGACTCAGACCCGGCCAGACCTCAGCACCCTCGCGAGCTCGAACCAACAGAAGATGCCCCACCCCACCGTCGGTGATATCAGGAAAGGAAATATGTTGGCTCGTCGTGCTCAGCAGTTTGCAGCCCTCGAGATCCGATACCCCTCGATCCCGATCGCCGAGCTCACCTCCATCCTCCACTCAGACTACTCGTCGAAAGAAATGTCGAACATGGGCCACGCGCAGGGGGGCTACATCATCGGGGTGACTAACATTGACATGGAGCTAGGCAGGGTTTCCCCGTGGAGCCCTTTTATCTGGAGGAGTTATCGGGTGAAGCGGGTGGTCAAGTCTACGTTGGCGGGGGAGTCGTCTGCGATGACCGACGGTCTCGGACATTTGGAGTGGGTCATGCGTTTCTTCGTCATGGGGTTCTTTCGAGGCTTCACTCTTGGAGATAGGGCCCGGTATCTGAGTAAGTTGAAGAGTCTGGCGGTCATCGATTGCAAGAGTATCTATGACAACGTGCGCACGATGGAAAGCCCGTGTGGGATCGACGATAAGAGGTGTGCAGTAGATATTGCAATAAGTAAGGAGCGTCTGGCACGTCTTGGGGCTGTGTTGCGTTGGGGCCCCACGTCTCTGATGCTGGCGGACAGGTCTCACGAAGGATAAGGCGGAGCCCGCCGATCTCCTCCGAGGCTGCGTCCGCCACGGGACCTACCAGCTCGCCGATGAGAGCAGCGTCTTGGCTCAAGCATCGGCGAAGCGCGCTTTGCGGAAGCAGTTCGCGGCCCCACAGCCCACGAAGAGTCTGCGAGCAGATGGTCAAGATCGAGGCGAAGAACTCGGCGAGTGGCGAGAGGAGTTCCTTGGAGGGCCTGGCGGAGGCTGGCGAGGGCGACATCGAGGGCTCCAGCAACAAGGTCAAGGTGCAGATCCGCGCGGGGGCCCTGGACGACCGCCTGTCGGGCAAGCAGAGCGTCTCGCAGATCACGCTCGTGCACCACGCCAGCACGCGGTACATCACGTTGCACTCGCCGGCCGCGCTCGAGGATGGCATGCGCGACCGCCTGAAGGTGCTCGAGAGCCTCTACCACACGGCGCTGAAGAACGACCAGGCGCCGCCGGCCCCGCCCGGAGGGTCGATCGTGGTGAACTCTTTCCGCCCCCCAGCCTGGGACGAGTTCTCGGCGGGCTACTCGGAGAGCCAGGACGGCCCCCCCAGCACAGGAGCTGGCGGGACGCAGCGCAGCTGCCGCCCGTCTCGGACGCTACGTCTGCCCAGGGAGTCGGAGCTCCACAGCGGGATCGGCGACGTCGGAGTGTCAGTGTGCGAGCACATGGCAGACTTCCCCCTCTGGCGCGACAAGATCCTTCGGTTCTTGGTCGAGGAGTGTGGTCTGCAGCCAGAGATGTTGAACGAGGATGGTCCGGAGTCATGGAAGCAGACCGGCGTGTTTGACCAGGCTCCGATCGTGGCTGTGGAGGAGAGCTCTGTGGCCGGTGATGCTATGTCCCTGGGGAGCTGGATGCCCGCTTCGTCGAGAGCGGCGGGTTCGAGCCGAGCGGGGGCCCCCACGTCGAAGGCGTCGGCCTCAGAGGACCGGCTCCACTAGGCGATCGACATCTGAGTGGCTTTCGCCTCCCGCGCGCCGTGCTCAGTACAATTGTCTGTGTGATGTGAAGGGGTTCAGTCAAAGCTGAGCCGAAAGTCGGAGTCGAGGCAACTTTTAAGTTGTGGGAGTGTTGATTCAGCGCTTCTTGCCTCACTCCGCTGCCGTTTGGGCGCTAGCTAGCTTGGAGACTCGCGGTGGGGCACCCGCGAGAGGAGAACAAGCTAGCCCTCACTCTTTCCCCAGAGGGTCCCGAGGACCCCTCACCACCGCCCGGGCTTTGACAGGCTTCCTGGGAGCTTCCTGGGGGCCTCTTGGAGGGTTTCGGGGGGCCTTGAGGGGCTTCTTGGGGGCCTCTGAAAGAGGCCCTCTTTGGCCGTCTTAGAGCGTTCCTGGTTCGTCTGACGCCGTGGGAAGCCGTCTTGGGGGCCTGTCTGGGCCGTCTTGGGGCTCTCTTGGCGCAGATCAGGTGTTCTTAGAGGCCATCTTGGGCGTCTTGGAGGCCTCTCGGGTTGTTTCGGGGCCCTCTTGGGGCAGTCTCGGGGGCCTTTTGGGCCGTCATGGGGCCATATTGGAGGCCTCTTGGGCGATCTTGGGGGCCTCTTGCGCCGTCTTGAGCCGTCGGAATGCCGAGAAGACGCAAATGCCAAAATATTTCAAAAACCTCAGGATAATCAATGATTGTGGCCACCTCGTGCCCTCCTGGAAGACCTCCTGGACGCCTTTTGGGCCGTCTTGGAGGCCTCTCGGGGCCAACTTGGGCCATCTTGAGGCCATCTTAGGCCGTCTTGGGTGCATCTGGGGCCGTCTTGGAGGCCATGTTGGCCGTCTTGGAGGCCTCTTGGGCCCTTTGGGGTCGTCTTTGGGGCCTCTTGGGCCGTCACGGGGCCATATTGGAGGCCTCGCGGGCGATCTTGCGGGCCCCTTGGGCCGTCTTGAGCCGTCGGAATGCCGAGAAGAAGCTAATGCCAAAACCTTTCAGAAACCTAAGGGGGATCAATGGTGTGGGCCTCTTCGGGCCCTCCTTGAGGACCTATCGGGGGCCTCTTGGGCCGTCTTGGAAGCCTCTTGGGGGCCTCTTGGGCCATCTTCGGCCGCGTTGGAGGTATCTAGGGGCCATCTCAGCTGTCTTGGCATCTCGGGCGCATTGGAGGCCTCTTGAGCCGTCTTGGGGCCCTCTTGGGGGCATCTCGGGGGCCCCTTGGGCCGTCATGGGGCCATCTTGGAGACACCTTGGGCGATCTCGGGGCGATCTTCGGGGCCCCCTGGGCCGTCGGAAGTCCGAAAAGGCGAAAATGCAAACATTCTTAAACCTAAGGAAAATCAATGAGTTTGCCCTTTCCGGGCCTTCCTGGAGAACTTCTTGGAGGCCTCTTGGGCTATCTTGGAGACCTCCTAGGGGACACTTGGGCCGTCTTGGGCCATCTTGAGGCTATATTAGGCCGTCTTGGGTGCATTTGGGGCCGTCTTGGAGGCATCTTGCAGCCATCTTAGCCGTCTTGGCGGCCATCTTCGCCGTCTTGGAGGCATCTTGGAGGCCATCTTGGGCGAAAAAATGGGGGATTGAGATCCTGGAAGATCGTTCCGGGTGGCCGGCGGGACAGGCCGAAGCCCCAGAGGGAGTTCTCTTGGAAAACAAAAAACAAACAAGAACAAAAACAAAAACAAAAAACGAAACAGAAAGGGTCTAGCACGCCAGGTACCCCTGCGATGAATCGACAGGGGGCGGCGGCCCATCCCGCCACCGCGCCTGGGTTGTGGCTCTCTGATGTTCGTTTGGATATTGGGAGAAGCCTTTCGGGGGCCCGCAAAGACAGTTTGGAGGCATCTGGGGGGCTGTTTGGAGCCTCGTGGGGCCTCTACTGGGCCTTTTGGAGGTCTCTTGGGGGCCTCTTGGGGCCTCCCGGAGGCCTCTTGGGGCCTCCCAGGGGCCTCTTGGGGCGGAAAGCTAGAATGTTTGGTTCGTGGTCCCCTTCTTGGGCCCCTCTTGGGGCCCTCTTGGGCTGTCTTGAGGTCCTCGTTGGACCGTCTTGGGAGCCTCTTGGGCCATCTTGGAGCCTTCTTGCGGGCCTTGGGCCGTCGCGCGGCGGTCTTGGGCCCTCTTGGGCCGTCTTCGAGCGTCGAAAGCCAGAAAAGACGAGAAAGCCAAAAACCGTGGAAAAAATCTGTTCTATGTATCTTTGTCAGATCGTCCTGCTCCGCCTGTCCGCTACCGTTGCGTGCTCAAAGTGCTAAGGCCCGCCTTCGGCGTGCATGGAGGCCCTGCGGGCCGTGGCGCCCTCAGCGCTGCGGCTGCTGGAGGCCGCCGTGCTGCGCTGTCCAGCCTGCCCGCGCTGCCCCGACTGCAGTTGCCCAGCGGTCAGTTGCTCTCTGATTTGTGCGGGCCTTGCGAGCACCAGCCAGATCACCCTGCGGGAGCGCGACTGGATCGGGCTCGCCGCGGCGCTTGCGAGTGGGATCGTGCCCTTGCGAGGCTGGGACTACCTGAGGGCCGTGAGTACACGGCAGCAGAGTGGGAAGCCCGTGGGCGACCAAGGCATCACCATCGACTACGTGGAGAGGCCGCCTGCGCTGGAGCCACCTCTCGGGACGGTTGCGACCCCGTCTAGTCTACGATCGCGATAATGGATCGTTCCCTGGACATCAAGGAGTTCCAAGTCCTGGTGAACTTCCTGGACGACGCAGACGGCTCCCACTGGCACATGAGAGTGTTTCTGGCCCGCGCGGGCCGCGCAGGAGTGTGGGTCACGTCGACACCGACGCTGGAGCTCTACACTCACGACCTGAACACAATCAGGCACATCGCGTTGGCGCGGAATGCGCCATGGCCCGAGCGGGTGAACAGGAACGAGATCTTCGGGTTCGATCCGATCTCGAGGGTGGAGCTGAGCCAGTACGTGCAGCTGGCCAAGGTCCAGGCGCGGGCGCCGGCCGATGACGATGGCGACTCCGAGGCCCCGGAGATGATCAGGCTGCGCGCGGGACCAGGGCTCGACAGGATCGGCGAGGTCATCCCGCAGGAGGTGATTGACGATCAGGAGCGCTTCACTGAGATATGGGGACGCAGAAGTCGCGGAGGTCGACGGCGCGGTCGGGCGGGCCGCTCGGGCCCGCGCGAATGATCGCGAGACTTGGCTGAGAGAACGACAGGCTGCTGAGCGTGACGATCGCATCATCGGATTGCATCTGCGGAGCGGCGAGCGGTACATCATGTTGAAGGAGGCCCTGGCTCTGCACCCCCAGGTGCAGCACGAGGACTGGGGCTTCCCCGGCCCGAGATTGGCGATGGAGTACCTCACGCTGATCGACCAA